TCCATGTCAGCCCCATTAGAAATGTATAGAGATCAGTATGGATAATAATTATGTTTACCTGCATCGTGGTGTTGAGGGAAAAGAAAAAAAAAATCAAGTTATGAGCTAACTATGCATTATTGATACCTGTCCTTCAGCTGTTCACACTCAAGATTTCTAAGACATTTCTTTTCACAGTTTACCAAATATTTCTTTTCATTTTTTTTTTGTACCTCTAAAATAGGCTCTTGATATTGTCCTTACCCGGTATACTGAGTTGGTCACCACCTCTTGAAGATCTTTTTTGCTTTTTCTGCCAGACTATATTAACAAAACAAAAACCAACTCAATAGATCGAAGCATTAAAGACGATAATTAAATGACAATTTTTCTTCTTTGAGTTAATCCATTCATGTAAGGTAAAACTTATGATGTTCCCTTAACCAAGGTTGTCTAAAACATTTAGAAGACTGCACTACAAAAATGGTGATGAGTTACCGCACTGCAAGTCAAACTGTGAGCAGCCCTCTTTGATCCCTACTTCTTCCTGATTTTTTAAGGCTGGCCACAACTTTAAAATAGCTGTTCTTGGTTATACATTGTGAAGCAATTCAGGGTAAGATTATTTTAAACTACAAAGAGTGACAAAAGTCTTGGCAAGCATACTTATATTTCATTTTTCCCTCTCACTTTCATTTATCCTCTCCTCCTTCCCTATTTCAATGTTGCCTGGTGTTACAAAATGGTTGTAAATTTCAGGCAACATTGTTTGCTGGGAAGAGGCAACTTGCAAGTAACTTAGAGAAAAATAACAAGATTTCTGTTTATTATGTCAATTGGAGGATTGTCAACCACCTTAGTAAGGTGTGGCTTGACTAACACTTTTCTCTCTTTAAGAATTGGGATCCTTTTTTACTGCAAAAAGGAGAATATGAATTAAACTACATTACAACCTTTTTTAACTGTAATACTGTAATCATTCAAACTGCAACAAGGCTCAGGATATCACTGCTTAACAGTATCTGTTAATGACCCTGGATTACTGGACGAGTCCAAACCTTACAGTTATTAGTTTGAATACAGATTTTGTATTTAGTTCAAGCTAAACACTCACCTAGCAAGTGCTTCATTTGCTGCTATGTAGATTTCTTGAGCTTTTGGGCCAAAGTCTGTTAACTTGAAGGGTTTTATATGTCTTCTTATGAGGACAAGGCTATTTAAAAAAAAAAAAAGTTACTATTATTATAAGGTTATCATTTTATTATTTCATCAAAAAAACAAGTCCATGCTTGCACAAAGATGCCTGCTGCTCTTCCATGCAAATACCTATTTGATAATGGTGCTCACTATCAGCAATATCATAATCGGAAGATTATCTCTCACCTGTAGATGGTCCAAAAACCATTCTTAAAGGCATTCCATCTTTCTTTTATTCCCTATAGCATAAGAAATATTTCCAGTTAATAGACTTCATCCATAAATGGTACAGAAATGATCTGCAAATCAATCAAGGAATAATTCTGCTCAAAAAAATGATCCCTTCTTTTTGTCCTAAAGACCCATAAATCAGTTTATAACAAGGACCAAAATAAGATGGCTTTTGTTTCCCTTGCCACAAAGCAATCCACTGTCCCATCTTTAATTACTATAATTGTAATAACTTTCTTAGTTCTTTGGGGATCTTTTTGGGCTCAACTCCAAGAAAATTTGGATCATTTCAAGGGCAAGACCATTTCAGGGTCTATTTGGATATAATTTGTCTCAGAGCTGGAGATCACCGTGAAGGTCAGGATCATTTGAATAGATTGAGCAGAACACATGAATACAACTCTGTGGAGAGAGGCAACCTGAGCAGAAATTGCCACACCCAAGGTCACTCAACACTATGAATTGTCCTTGGTTCATCCATTTAGAATCATAAGTCCAGACTTTCTTGAAAGGTATATATGTTAGCTGAACACTATTAATGTGTTAATAATAATATAATATTAGATATTACTTTTCCTTCAAGCTCTACATACCCATGGCGTGAAAAAGTAATATCTTCTTATTGGAAGGTAGTCACTGAATATTACTCCTACAGATAAACAAATGACAGTTCAATCAGTAATTTTTAATTATAATAAGTAGTTTCTTAGAAATCGACTTTGAAATAAAAGCTAGCACTAAGAAGTCACGATGTTTCGACCTCTCTGAGGTCATTTTCAAGTGAGTAAGTTTTCCAAATCAGCATAAATATGTTGAAGCAAGTTGAAGA